CATAAAAGTTAGCATTTATGGCCCTCTGGTGCCTCAAACTCTGCAGATCTTTTCCTCAATCTATTTCTCTTCATGCGTCTCTCTTAACTGGACCATCATCCTGTAAGAAAGCCAGGCTTTCAAGCCAGAAACTTGAAGGCCCCTGAGTTCGGGAGAATCCCAATTACCTCATAGCAGAGTTTGACCCTTCTCCCTGCCCCCTGCCCCAGTTCTGGCCACCCCTGTGATTCACACCATAATCAGCGGTCTTGCTCTCCACCTGCTCAATCTGGAGGTCTTCAAATGAAATGTAAACCTGGCTCTAATCCCCCCTTACTTAAAGTTCTCTAGGGGTTTCCCAGCTCCTGCAGGATCAAGTCTGAGGAGACACTGAAAAGCCTTTCTCTACAGCCTTATATCTCCTGCCACTCCTCATCCTACTGGGAAAACTTCAACTAGACTTTTGTTACGCTCAAGTGTTTGAATGTTCCATGCATGCCTCTGGGCTTCTCTAGACACAGTATCCTCCACTGGAATACCCTTTCTCCTCTGCTCCTCTTCTTTCAAATCTTGACTGATATGTCCCCTCTCTGGGAGGCTTTCCCAGATGTCTCCTGGTAGCACTGACTACTCTCTCCTCTTTCCCTGTACACCTCCCCAAAATATCACCCATGAGCCTGTATTGCCTTTATTTGCTTATGTGTTTCTGCCTCATTAGACCCATGAGAGATCTGTATTTGATTCATTTCAAATTCAAACGTTTATCGGGGCTGATAAGGTCCTACAGGGTTTGGTTCCACCCTGTCTCCTACCACTCTCAGCCCTACCCACTTCAACCAATCACACTGGCCTTCGGACTATTCCAAGATTACCAAACTCCTTCCTGCTCTAGGTCTTTGTTCCCGCAGTAACCTTTTCCTGGAACGCCCTCTCTAGATCTTTCCATGGCTGGCTCCCTCTTGACATTCAGATCTCTGCTCAAATGTCACCTCTTCCAGAATCATGGGCCAACCAATCAAAAGTAATCTTCCTTCCTCCTTATCCTCTCTTCAGGATAATACCATATTTTCTTCCCTTCCTAGCACTTATCACAAGGTATAGTTAATTCACTATAAAAATCAGTCTTACTGAGGAATAATTTGCATACAATAAAATGCATATGTTTAAGGTGTACAGTTAAATTAGTTTTGACAAATACCCAAGTATCCACCACTCTCTGCAAGAAATAGAATATTTCCATAATCTGTCCAATTTTCCCAATTCCTCTTTCCAGTCGATATCCCGGCTCCCTGTGGCCAGCCCCGGTCAATAACTGCTCTGCTTTCTGATCCCATAACTTCATTTCACTTGTTCTAGAACTTCATTTAAACGTCATCATCCGGCATGTTCTCACCTGTCTGGCTTCTTTCACTCAGCATGTTTTGGAAGCTCATTTACGTGGTAGCATTTATCAGTTTTTGTTTCTTTTCATTACTGAGTAGTAAGCTATGGTATGAATACACCACAATTTATCTGTTTGTTTGTTGATGGATACCTGGGCCATTTCCAGCTTTGAGCTAATATGAATAAAGCTGCTTTGACAATTCATGGACAAGCCTCTGTGTGGATGTACATTTTCATTTCTCTCAGGTCCCTGAAATGTACCTGTAATCCCTGTCATGGAGATTGCTGGACACACGGTAAGCATATGTTTTACTTTTTAAGACACCGCCAACCTTTTTTCCAAAGTGATTTTCCATTTCATGCTCCTGCCAGCAACATGTGAGAGTTCCAGTTGTTCCACGCCCTTGCTAACACTTATTACTGGTCTTTTAACAGTTAGCCATTCTAATGTATGTCTGATGTTATCTCATTGTGGTTTTAATTTACATTTCGCCGATGGCTAATGATGTTGAACAACTTTTCCTGTGTTTATGGATATCTGTATATCTTATTTCTAAAGTATTTAGAAAAGTACTTAGAAAAGAGTTTAAACTCTTTTGCCCATATCTTAATTTGGTTGTTTATCTTCTTCTTATTGAGTCATATTTCTTTGCTGTAGATACAAATTATTTATCAAAAATATGATTGCAAAACTTTCTTCTAGTCAGTGACTTATCTCTTCATGTTCTTGATGCTGTCTCCCCCCTCCCTTTTATAATTTTATTATTAGTTCTTTCTGTGAACTGACTATCCTAAGGATGTGTAGCTTTTCCTATGCTTTCTTCTAGAAGTTTTATAGTTTTTTAAAATTTTATTTATTTATTTTAATGGAGGTGTTGGGGATCAAACTCAGGACCTCGTGCATGCCAAGTTTGTGCTCTACCACTGAGCTATACCCACACTCTCTATAGTTTATTTTTTAAATTTTGTTCTTTGATCCATCTCAAGTATATTGTGAAGCAGGGATTGATAGTCACTGTTTTCCATATTGGAATTGTGAGGCTGAGTGGAGGGATGGGGCTTATGTGGACCATCAGGGAAGCCCTCTGAGAAGCTCACTTTAGACAGAGAGGAAATGGAGTGAGAAATGGAGCCACATGGATACCGAGGGCAAGGACATTCCAGGCGGAACAAGCTTAGGCTGTTAGAGAAACAGCAGGGAGGTTGCTGTGGCTGGAGTGAGGCTCAGAGGTCTGACAGGCCTCAGAAATGAGTTTGAATTTTATTTTGAATGTGATATGAAGCTACTGGAGGGTTTTAAGAAGGGTCGTGACATGGTCTTATTTATGGTTTAAAAGTTACGTGGGGTACCATCACATGTGTATTAGAATGCCTGAAAAAAAATTTTTTTTTAAAGTGATAATACCCAGTGCTGGCAGGAATGCAGAGGAGCTGCAACTCTCATACACTGCTGGTGGGAGTGGCAAAGTGGTACAGTTGGTTTGCAAAAGAGTTTAGCCATTTCACAGAAAGATAACACTTACACTTACCATGCACCCTAGCAATCCCACTTCTAAGTATTTACCCAAGTGAAGTGAAGCTTATGCTCACACACAAACCTGTTACACAAATGTTCACAGTAACTTGATTCATCATCACCAAAAGCTGGAAACAATTCAAATATCTTTCATCTGGTGAATGGGTAAACTGTGGCACATCCATGTAAGAATACTACTTAGCAATAAAAAAGAATGAACTACTGATAATACATGAAATGACCTGGAGGAACCTCAGGGGCTTTATGCTTAGTGGAAAAATTCAATCTCAAGAGTTTACATACTAGCCAGAAAGAGAAAGAAAAATACCATATGATATCATTTATATGTGGACTCTTGAAAAAAAAGACACAAACTTATTTACAAAACAGAGATAGACTCACAGACATGGAAAACAAACCTGTGGTTATGAGGGGGTGGGAGGGAATGGGGTTGGGGGAGGGATAAATTGAGAGTTCAGGATTTGTAGATACTAACTACTATATACAAAATAGATCAACAATAAGCCAAGATCCTACTGTATAGCACAGGGAATTATATCCAATACCTTGTAATGCCCTATAATGAAAAAGAATATGAAAAGGAATATATATGTCTAAGTGAATCACTATGCTGTACACCAGAAATTAACACAACATTGTAAATCGATTTCAATTAAAAAAAGTTTACATACAGTATGATTTCATTCATATAATATTCTCAAAATGGCACAACTATAGAGATGGAGAACAGATCAGTTGCCAAGGGACAGGGAGGAGACCCTGGGAGGCATGAAATGGGAGTGGGTGTGAATACAAAGAGGCAGCACTAGAGAGTTCCATGGTGATGTAACAGCTACCCATCTTGGTGGTGGTGGTAGGTACAGAAATCTACACTCGGGATTTAAGTACAGAGAACTGAACATACACCCACACACACAAACGAATGCAGGTTAAAAATTGGTGAAAACTGAAGAAAGTCTGTTGTCTGACTAAAGTAAGGTACCAATATCAGTGTCCTGGTTTGGATATTTTACTACAGCTCAGTCTAAGATGTCACCATTATGGGAAGCTGGTTAAAGGGTACATGAGACTTTTATTTTGGCAACTTCTGTGAGCCTATAGCTATTTCAAAACTAAAAGTTTAGAACTAAAACTCTAGCAGGTTGGTAAAAAACTATAAAAGGCTTTTTCTTGAAATTGGGGAAATTTGCAAATAGATGGATAGTCGGTGACATTTGGGAATTTCCTGTCAGCTCTCTTAGGTGTAATAATGTATGGTCATCACTCAGTCTTAGGTGATACATGTTGGAGTTTTAGAGGTGAAGTGTCAGTGCCTACAACTTACTTTCAAATGGTTCAGCAAATAAATACCTATGTTTAGATGTCACTTTAAAATACAGCAAAATGCAAGCAATTACTGAGTCTAGGTGGGAGGTCTATAGGTGTTCACTGTGTTATTCTTTTAACTTTGTATTTGAAAAATTTGTAATGAAAAGTTGAAAGAAAGAAAAAGGAACAAATCGCTGATATATACAATTGCTGATGGCTCTCAAAAGACTTA